TCCCCCCCCCCCCCCCCCCCCCCATCACTTTTCTAATGGTCCGCCCCTAAGTTGTATTGGTAACACTAAATTTACAGTAACTCTGGTTAGAGATTAAGTTGCAAAGTGCGAATTGGGCTTCACAAGCAATAGACAAGTAGCATTTATTCACTTTTCACCCAATGGCCTCATTTTCATGTAAAATACTTACCTATGTTTTGTGCTTAGTAGGGTTGAAAATTACTTTATTATTGAGCCTAAAAACAACAAGAAACAAATTTGTCCAGGAAAACATGGGCATATAATCTTTATCTGTCCCTGACATGCTAAAATAAGAACATGAAACGAGGCCATTGCATAAAATAGAATAATCGTAAGGTCTATTGTTTTCATTTTGTGTAGTTTGTAAAGCTCCCATGAATGCTGTAAAGAAGACAAACAAGAAAACAAACAAGTCAATATCAAATGACTCTGCCATGGATGTTGATAAATCTTCAGGAAGTGACTCTAGTGACAGCAAAGATGATGGTGATGCTAAGAACAAAACAACAACAACCACGAAAGTAAAACAAACGGCAAAGCAAGAAAAGGGAGGCACAAAGACGGTTAAGAAGAAAGAAAGCTCGTCCAGTAGCAGCGACAGTAGCAGTTCAGATGAAGAGAAAGCGAAAAGCCAAGACAAAATAGTTGAAAAGAAATTGGACAGATCGGAAGAAATGCAAAAAAGGAGAGACGAAGGCGACAGGAAAACAGAAGAAAGACAGCAGCAGCAGTAGTAGTGAAAGTAGTAGTTCAGATTCCGAGGACGAAAAAACAATTGAAAAAGCTCCAAGTAAAGACAAAACGGAAACAAAGAAAGCAGAAACTTCTAAGAAGGGCAAAGAAGTACAATCAAAGGCAGCAAGCAAACAGAAGAAAGACAGTTCTAGTAGTTCAGATGAAACCAGTTCAGACTCGGAGGACGAAAAACCTACGGGGAAAGCCGTTCAAAACAAAGTTGAACCAGCTGAGAAAATGAAAGGCAAGGAAGAAAAAAATAAGAAAGAATCGAGTAGCAGTGAGTCTTCAGATAGCAGTTCTGATGAAGAGGCGGGAAAAACGAAAGATAATTCAAAACAACAACAAAATACTAAAAAGGACAGCACAAGTGAAACTGTTGGCAAAGGTAAGAAGAGCGACGGATCGGGCAGTGAAAGTGAGTCAGACGAAAGTTCCGAATCTAGTGATGAAAGTGGCGATATTGGAGATGAAAATGGTGAATCTGGTGATAAAAAGAGCAAAATTCAAAAAGAATCTGAAGCGAAGAAAGGTGAGAAAACCAAGGGAAAGGCGAAAGGAAAAAATAAACAATCAAGCAGCAAGGACAGTTCTGATGAAAAGAGTAAAAAACAGAAAGTTAAAGAGAATAAAAGTGCTTCTTCAAACGAAAAGACGGAAACTAGTAAGAGTAAAGAATCGTCAAGTAGTAGTAGCGAATCTGACTCTGAGGAGAGTAGCTCAGAAAGCGAGGGAGACACAAAGAAAAAGTCAAAAGACAAAACAGCAGCTGGGCAAACAGACAAAACAACGACAAACATTAAACTTAGTGACAGCAAAGAAACAATAAAAGGCAACACTAAGGCTAAGAAAGCAGAAAGTGAATCGGAAAGTAGTGACGAATCTTCTTCAAGCGATAGTGAAAGTGAGGAAGACACGAAGAAATCAGTGTTGACAAATGGTAGCTCTACCACAACGGGAGTGAAAAGAAAACGAGAAAGCTCCAGTGATGAAAGTAGTGATGAGCCCAAGGCAGTAGCAAAGAAGGTTAAAGAAAGTGGCAAGACAAATGGAAGTGGTGTGAATGGAAAAGATGAATCGTCTTCATCATCATCATCTAGTGATGAAAGTAGCGATGAATCTGGTTCTGATGAAAAGAAACAAGCAAAGGGTAATGTGAAAAGGTTAGTTTCTTTGTAAAGACTACGAAATCCGTTTAAAATCCGACCAAGTTTGGTGTTTTGTTCACAAACAAATCAGGCGATTAAGAATTTCCTTTTCTTATTTCTAGTAAGAAAGACAAGAATGTTACCAGCGAAGTTTCGGTAAGCCTGGGAAATGATACAGTGTTTCATCTTCTCATCAATCGTATGATAGGCTAACACTCAGCTTTACTTTATTTCAATTTTCGTACTTTTAACATTAACACAAACTTTTGTATTTTGTAGTTTAACAATGACAGTTTAGACGGCAAAAGTAAGCTCTTTTTCCAAGTTTTTCGATTGTTTTATTTGCCAAATCATTCATTCCTTGTTTTACCGGATATCATCAACTGTTCTCGCCTAATTACAGCAGGAAACCATAGATAAGGAAACCAATACTTGCACATGCGCAGCAACCACTGTGCCTCGAATGCCAGTAAATACATTTAATGTTTTCCTTATTTTATCATTTTTATTGCTTCAGACACGTCGACGCCAAATACGGTACCAAAGCAAACGAAAGCAGAAAAAGATAAAGTAAGATCAATTACACATTATAAAGCCAATGAAGATCAGGAGGCATCCAGGCTTCGCATATTTACAGTTTTATTTTGTTTAGAACACAACACCGACACCATACCGAAGAGTTGTATCTGAACGCGTAAATGTGGACAACAGACTGAAGGATAATAGTTTTGAAGCCAAGGTAACCAGCGATGTTAAAACTTACACAGACATTTCAAATTGGAAAAAAATTGACCATGTTGTTATCATTCTTATAGAGAGGCGCAACGGGGAGTTGGGGAGAGAAGGCTAACAGAGATTTAAAGTTTGTTAAAGGTACGTCGAGTCGTGTTTGTCCCCCGTAATGTCCCCCGTAACGATTCGCAGGGGTGGAAAAAAGACGAGCACGCGAAATGTTAAACAGCCGCAGGAAATTCGTTTGAATGAAGATTTGCTATTGAAAATTTGAAGGAAACCTTAACACCCATGTCCCACTATGGGCGCAACAACATTTGGTTGACAGACGTTATTCCTTGAATTTAAAACTATGGTCTGCTAGAACACTATACGTTTATGCACATGCAGATTTAGCACAAAAATACTCCGTTGGTCTGCATGAAATTTTTGTCTCCAATTTGTGACTGCTAACTCTCGTCCTCGCTATTTAAGTTATTTAAACAAAATCTATCAATTTCAGGCAAGTCGTTTCGCCATGAAAAGACGAAGAAGAAACGTGGCAGTTATCGTGGCGGGCAAATTGACGTAACTGTCAACTCCATCAAGTTCGACAGCGACTAAGAATTGTTGTCTCATTAATTTCGACTACACAGAACAGTCTATATATTCATTTTAAAACATTGGACTGTCGTGAAATCCAACAAGAAAACTTTTAAAACATTAATTCATTTTAGTGTTGTTCGCATACAGTATCTCGAAAATCTCAAGTGTAAACAATCGCGAACATGTTGAGTTATAAACGAAGCTTAGTATTATTTCAAAGGCGTGTAAAGAAATTAAGATTTTAAAAATAAAAATACCCCATCAGTTCCTACTGTCCAACTTGCTAGCCGGTGTCGGTCACTCAAGGCGCTTGTGCCAGCCGTTGGAACGCAAACAGCTATGATACTAGTGCGGCGCGCATCGATAAGATTATTTGCGCTTGTCCACGCTCAGACGCCAACGACGGTAATACAGCCGAGCAATTAAGGACATTTTGTGCGGCTGGAAGTCGACGTACGAATCGGGCGTTAAAGGGCAAAGGACAATCTGCACAAAGTCTGACAAGCTCGAGGTTTATATTTCAACATCTTGCAAAATCGAAGCTGAAATCCTGCTTTTTTCTACTCGATTTCTGCAGAAACATGTCCTTTGCACAAGTGACTTGTCTCGTGGGCACGCTGTACGTGTTTTATTTGTCTTTGAAGCTTTTAAAGCTAGTTTTAGAAGTTGTTAGAACGACCCTTCTCGGAGGAACCATTGATTTCAAGCGTTTGGGCGAATGGGCAGGTATTAAATAAAGAGGATTTAGTATTTAACATGTGCTTTTGTGTTTTTTTCTGCAGTAGATGTGTTAAGGCTGGCTTGCACTCTCAAAATTTTTATGATCACAGTAGGAAATTCGTGTTTGAGGAACTGAAAACTGACTCGGTGTTTTATAACACTGACTCAGTTTCCTGAGTTTCCTCAAACTTTTGTTACAAATCCTTCAAAACTTAGAATTTAACTTATGCAAAATCCCTGCTGTGATCACAGAAACTTTGATAGTGTAAATCAACCTTTAACGTTTGCATGCAATGTGAATTTTTGCTCTTGATTGTAATGCATTTGCAAGGTATTGGGTCTTGACTCTTGACTCTGCAGCAATTGAAGTCCCTAAAAACCACGAATTTTATTACATTTCTAGCCAATTTCTACCGTGTACTGTACACCCTGCAAACTGCCACGATTGATTATACATTGATTTGAAATCTGTGGATTTTGTTTGATATAAAAAGCAGGGATTTGTAGATATAAGATGGTAGTTTATATCAATATATGCATTGTGGATGTGGACCCTTGGAATTGAGACATGCAGTGAGAACGCACAAGATAATTGCTTAAGGGGGGTGTAGGGGTTTCATATAATGTATTCAGGGATGTTTGTATTGTAATATTTGCGAAATCAAGCATTTTATTTGTAATTTATTGGTAATATCATTGTCAGCTACAGTGGAAGGCTGTTGTGACCATTAATGTAGCGTTCCTGAAAGAAGTACCTTCCAAAGTATTGGGATACCTTAGGGGCTAACCAGGATGATTCAGTTAATAAAGTTCTTATCATGGTTTTGATAAACATCCAAAATGACATTTAAAAGTTGAATTAGCTGAGTTTGATTCAGTAGCAGTATAAAGTTCATTCAAACAATCTTTTATGGTTACAGAAAAGTTTTTGTGATGCGATATTCATTGTGGCTACTGGCTAGCCAGCCTGCATGGCCTGGCTCATATGAACAGCCTCTTAATAATGAAATGACTTGGTGTTTTACTGTACAAAACTACAGTAAATGACTATATAATAAGGTGGTGACAAGGTAGCACCATAAGCTGACTGATAATTGCTGTGTACTGTACGTCCAACACTTTTGACACGTTATAATTCTTTACAGTTGTGACAGGTTCTACTGATGGCATTGGCAAAGAATATGCCAAACAGGTGATACAATCTTTTTATGACTTCCATATTGAATCTGTTTTTCTTTGGCCTTGATCTCAATTGCACTGTTGCTTTGATATTTGAGTGAATTACTGAATTAGGCCCCAATTTGTTGGGAAGGCTATAGTAATAGTATTAAGCTTCCAATGTCTGAAAATTATTAAAGACATATTTCAACATTTTGATTGAGGAGGTCCAGTCTCATCATAGATCCAGTCTCATTATTCTTGCATGCAAATTATAATGCAAGAAGGAACGGTGACTGCAGTTGCAATTGACTTGTATTAAATTCCCACTATTCATATCATAACTATTTTTGTTGTACTGTTTAACCAGTTGGCAGCCAAAGGACTGAACATTATACTGATGAGCAGAAACAAAGAAAAACTTGAAGCCGTTGCTTCTGAAATTGGTTAGTTCACATATTAAACTAAAGCTCCAGTCAAACAAGAATGAGAGTTGATGAGAGTTAATGAGAGTTGCAACTCTCGCTCACGTTGAAGTTCCAGTTTTAATGAGAATTGATAAGAGTACCTTCTATCGCGTGGTAACATCCAGTCAACTCTCATTCAACTCTTGTTTTTGTTTGACCGGGGCATGAGAATTGAAAAAACTCTCATGCAAACTTTCACTTCTCAACTCTCATGCAAACTCTCACTTCTCAATTCTCATCAACTCCCATGCAAACTCTCGCTTCTCAACACTCATCAACTCTCATGCAAACTCTTGCTTCTTAACTCTCATGCAAACTCTCAATTCTCATCAACTCTCATGCAAACTCTCACTTCTCAACACTCATCAACTCTCATGCAAACTCTTGCTTCTTAACTCTCATGCAAATTCTCACTTCTCAACTCTCATCAACTCTGACATGCAAACTCTCGCTTCTCAACTCTCTTCAATTCTCATGCAAACTCTTGTTTCTCAACTCTCATGCAAACTCTCGCTTCTCAACTCTCATCAACTCTCATGCAAACTCTCATGCAAACTCTCGCTTCTCAACTCTCGTCAACTCTCATGCAAACTCTCATGCAAACTCTCATGCAAACTCTCGCTTCTCAACTCTCATTAACTCTCATGCAAACTCTCATGCTTAATCTCAACTCTCATCAACTCTGATTCTCATTTGACCTACAGGGTTCAATGATTTTATAGTGATCGAGTTTCAGCAAAAACATTTTGTTTGTTGCTAGAAAGTGAATACAAAGTGAAGACCAAGATTATTCAAGTAGATTTCTCTGGTGGTCATGAGATTTATGAACCAATTGGAAAAGAATTGGAAGGATTTGAGATTGGTGTTTTAGGTATCCCATTGTGTGTGTTCTCCCCTAAGAAACGAGCAAAATGTCTGATATGTCAGACAGAGTGAGATTCATAATAATGTAGGGTGCATTGCAACTCAATGAGTTAACTAGACACACAGGCAGATAGTTTGATTAACATGTTGAGTGCCAGCACTCATCCTTTGATGAGTAAAATTGTCTGGCATTAGACAGAGTAAATTTAGCAATGAAGTAAGGGGCGTTAGAATACAATGCAACTCAGATCAGTGGGTTAAAGCCTTAGTACATACAGTATATACTTTCTAGCAAGAAGCCAAGCATATTAATTTCTTGAGGGGACACAAAACAAAAGTTTGAAATACATTGCCAGCTAGCCAGCAAATTCAGGAAGTGTGCAGCAGGTTGTGCTATGACTGGCCTGCAAGCAAAGTTAATGTGCTATATGGGGCAATAATACCTTAGGTTTTGAATCTCTCAATAAATATGGTTCCTCCACTCATTTAGTGAACAATGTTGGTGCATCTGTTCCATATCCTCAACATCTTCATGAACTTCCAATCGAGGTTTGTAGTTTGATTTTTGTTTTAATTGCAATGGAATATTATTGTTCATTCCCTCAATTTGAGCAAACGGTTTGTGCCAGCAAGTGATACGCTAGAAAGCTACGGATTGAGGGGGATTCACTATAGTGTATTGGTAAAGAACTATAGTTTTCATAAAATATGTCAGGACTTTAGTTATGGAACTAAAATATTTACTAGTCGTAAGAAAACTATAGTTTTCTAAACTCAAACTATAGTTTTCAAAAAACTATATTTCCCTTGAGTTATAAAACTATAGTTTATTGCAGACAAACTATAGTTATTTTGAAGATAACTATAGTTTTTTTTTGGAAACTTTTCTCAAAAAAACTATAGTTTTTGGTGGAAAACTATAGTTTATTTTTGTAAGGGCTAGCTACCTCAAAAGTACAAAGTTTTTCTTGTAGTTTTCAAGTTGTTGAATCCCAGAATCCCTCCATCCATTAAGTTAAGAAGATTTACATTTCAAACATTCAATGACTAGCATTTTTTAATTAACCGTTTCATCGAGTGTGGAAAGCCAAACGCGTCAAATAATTTGAATTGAACATGACATTTAAATCACCGTTTAATTATATTTCAGAACGTATGGACACAGGTCAACGTGAATGTTATGTCGACAGCTATGGTTAGTGTTTGAAACATCTTTTCTAGCTAAAATCTTTCAGTTCGGTTACTGAAAAAACTAGCTGTATTATATTTTTTCTCCAATCTTTTGTTTAGTTAACAAGATTGATTATTCCCTCTATGGTTGAAAGGTAGGGTTTATTTTGGTGTAGATGGATATTTTGAATGCATATTGATGCGCATTTTTAGACTGGACCAGAAGCAATTGCAAATAATGAGACTATAGGCCCTTTGGCTGAGGAGTCGAACCTGCGTCCCAGCGATTCCGGTGCAGCGCTCTAACCAACTGAGCTGCAGAGACCGATTTGGTAGAGTCCACTTTTCTCGCATGAGACTGAGGTGAAATTGTCATCAGAAGACTATAAAAACTGCTACTGAACATAGATAACCAGAGTTGGCTTTTACTTGTATGGTATGCGCGTTTTCTTTCAATTTCAGAAATAAAGGAGTTGTCATCAACGTTGCATCTGGTGCTGGTGCATTTGTGGTTCCTCTTTTAGGTCCTTATAGCGGTACCAAGGTAATGAAGAATCTGTACAGATAGATGATCAGTGAAGACAAACTGTCTTGGTTGTTGTTTTAATAGATGGTTCTCTGTCCTGGTGTGTAAAACTCTCGTTAAACGAGACTTGATGAGAATTAACTTTCATTCTCCGCGGTCGAACGAGAACAAGTGTTGCACGAGAGTTGATGAGATTGGACTGGATAATTCAGAGCCTGAAATAACGGCCGGCGTTCGGCGGTTTTCCGACCAAATTCCAGTTTTTCCGACCAAATGCTGAGATGATCGGAAATTTCGTCCGCCAAATGTTGAAAAAAATGATAATCTGTTTTTTTTTAAATTATCGGGTTGGCGCTCAGCACAGTGAGTGCAGTATCTATAGTCTTAGATTATCTATACTAGTTTTATATGGAGTAATCAACTGGAAAGTTATCAAAGTTTCTTCGATCAGAGTATGCTTTAAACAAAGTTTAGTTAACTTAAATGTGTGACAGTGCATGAGTTACGAGTCAGAGCTCGAGTGACTGCTTTCATTGTTGTTAATTTGACGACCTGGAAGATAAAGAATGCGTTTCCTTGACGTTTCGAGCAAAGGCCCTTCATCAGGACAGTTAAATAGGCTGTTTATTACAAGTAGATTGATTTACTGAATGCTTGACAGAATTTACTCAACGGAGGGGATCAAACTAAACTAAAAAAATTCCGACCAAATTTGAAAATTTCCGGTCAAATTTCATTTTGCTTGGAAGTTTTGCCGGACAAATTTAAAAATTATTTCAGGCTCTGGATATTACCTGTCAAATGAGCAAAACTCTCTGATGGATGGTTTAATTGTCATTAGAATAAGTCTAACAATTCATAAACTCTAAGGTTTTGAACTTTCTTCATTACTGAATAGGCTTTTATGGACAAGTTTTCTGAATCACTTCACATCGAGTACGCCAGCAAGGGCATTATTACCCAGGTAACTATCAGTTTTAAACTGTTCTCCCTAGAGGTCCAGTAAGGATCATCTCTTATTGATCCAGTGTTACTACAGGAGGAAACCTAAACTAAAGTTACTAAATCTGACTTTATTTATACTGGATAGTTCTATCAGTTCTAAACTGTTCTCCCTAGAGGTCCAGTAAGGATCATCTCTTATTGATCCAGTGTTGCCACTAGACTTTCCAAAGTCCGCGGTTCGTGGTTCCTGGAAGCGACGGACTTTTGTCACCCGCAAGCACGCCAAATTCACCGGTGAATTTTTGCTCCGGTGACGTCAGTGAATGCTCATTATTATTCTGTATAACGACGCCAAAACAATAATGAACTAGTGAAATCGACATGGTGAACGCCCACTATGTCATAATTGATTTTCGCGCCAAATTTTTCAGTAAGATTCAAAATCCGGCAAGTGACACAAGTCGCTCGCTTCCGTCTTTCTCAAGCGCTCCCTTCTTGCTACGCGCGGTCCCTAGCGATATTACCACAAGAGGAAGCCTAAACTAAACTAACTTTATTTACACTGGATAGCTCTATCAATTCTAAACTGTTCTTCTTAAAGGTCCAGTAAGGATCATCTCTTATTGATCCAGTGTTACCACAGGAGGAAGCCTAAGCTTACTTATTTACACTGGATCTAGCTCTATCAGTTCTAAACTGTTCTTCTTAAAGGTCCAGTAAGGATCATCTCTTATTGATCCAGTGTTACTACAGGAGGAAACCTAAACTAAACTAACTTTATTTATACTGGATAGTTCTATCAGTTCTAAAGCGTTCTTCCTAGAGGTCCAGTAAGGATCATCTCTTATTGATCCGGTGTTACTACAGGAGGAAAGTGAGTACTTGGAGAAAAGCTGTGGTGTTTGGTAGAGTCAAACTGGAAGCGCTCTTCTCACATGTGACTGGGGTGAAATTATAATCTGACAACTGTATATTGAAGGAATCAAAGCCTGGTCACACGGAGATAAAAACACATGCACTAAGCACTGTGTCACTAAGCCCATTTTTCTCGTTTCCAGAGTGTATTACCGTTGATAGTCGCGACAAAAATGTCCGGTGTTAAAAGATCGGGGTTCTTCAGTCCATTTCCGGACAGCTTTGTAGGAAGTGTGCTGAAAAAAGTTGGAGCTGCTCGACGATGTTTTGGTTATTGGCCTCACGAGTTACAAGTAAGTGGAGTATTAGACTTGCCTCTTTCCTTCATTTTTGATAGAGTCTATCCAGTTTCTTATAAGGTCAGTTTGAAACATAAACTGATCTCATGATAGACTGAATAGACCAATTAAGAACGAAACTGACCTCATAACAGGCGGTTGGTCAGGCAGGTAGGCAGGGGGTAATCAGAAAGGCAGGCAGGCAGGCAAGCAATTAGGTAGACAAACATTCAGGCAGGACGACAGGTAGCCATTCAGCTAGGCATGCAGTCGGGTTGGTAGACAAGCATTAGGCAGTCATACGGGCCGACGGTTGATGGGCTAGCTTGTCAGTTATTTTACTAGTATTCTTCTTTTGTCTTTCTAGGCTTTTGTTATGTATCTATTGCCTGACTGGTTGTTCGCTAAAATGACGATGAAATTCAACACAAAGCTTCGTGATAAAGCTCTCAAGAAGAAGAAGGAGAAAAAGGAATCCTAAACAACGCACATCAGCCTTAAAAACATTTAAAAAAAAAACATATTTGCACAAGTGAACCCAAGCTCGGATGAAACTAGAATGAGAGTTCATGAGTTGGCCTCGCGATCTTGGTTAGCTGTTCTTAATGCTTTCCCAACACTATCATGTATTCTGTTTAAATTAAAACATAGTTGGAACACTCATCGAACCTTTATTTTGTTAATCTAGAGCTTGAAATGCCCCCTGTAACAATGCGTGACTGACAACTCTCATCAACTCTCAGCCTCGTTTGATCCGGGTCTTAAGTTTGTGAAATTCAGAGCGCTTGGTTGCATTTACCTATTTTAATTGGCTTGTTGATATGAACTGAAACTCAGTTAATTATATTTTGTTATTATGTCAAATGATCAATAAAATTAAGTTAATAACTCTTCTTCTTTCTTCTATACGGCTTATATGAAAGTTTGTGTGTCAAAATGTGCTTTACCAGACTCAAGAATCCGGGTAACGGTAAGGCCCGTTTCATACGCCGTAATTCACATGTGCCGAATACATTACAAACAATAGATAATGAGACATTTCAGCTCATTATCTATTGTCTTTAATGTATTCGGCACATGTGAAGTACGGCGTATGAAACGGGCCTAAGCGTAGCGTAGTAGAATCTATAATAAAATCCGGGTAATGTTCATTTGCAATCGTATACTACGAAAGTTTATATCTTAAAATGTGCCTTAAAATTCCCCCAAACCAAAACTTTCTTCATCACTATGCGTTTTGAACGTCAAAATTTGATCGAAGTTTTCTAAGGCCCGTTTAAAGCCTGTTCTAAACGTCGCATTTTACATGCGCCGAATACATTCAAAACAATGGACAATGAGGCATTTCAGCTGAGTATCTAATGTTTTGAATGCATTCGGCACATGTAAAATGCGACGTTTAGAACAGGCCTTATACGTCGAATTTTGGTCGCGTCGAATGCAATTAAGACAATAGGTAATGAGATGATAAACCTCATTAAACTTCATTATCTATTGTTTGAATTGCATTCGACGCGACCGAAATTCGACGTATGAAACAGACCTAAGACAATTCTTCCTACTTAATAATAATTATGCATATGCGGCTAGTGTATTGAAGTGAAATTCATCAATTTAAGTACCAAAGGGAGTTAATTTTCAATGGTTTTAGACACAACTCTCAACGGTGAAAATATGCGATTCTGACGAACATTTTTATCGGGCTCGTACTTGCTCACTTTTTATCCATTTGGCATGAATGACCTTTTTGTATACATTCACCCTGTTCAGATGAAGTGGACCTGAAACAGACTTAATGGCCTGATTCCACGAGGCGGAATTTTTCGACCGAAACGAAATTTCTCTTTGTCTTTTTACAATTAGTTCTGCTCGAGAGCTCATGAACAAAGAGAAATTTCGATTCGGTCGAAAAATTCCGCCTAATGGAAAACCGCCTTAAGAGTTTCAGTCAAAGTGAGTTCGTGCAAGAAGATATACAGGGTGTATAAAAAAAAGCGCAACCTCGGAATTTCCCAAGAAATCGACATTGTTTTAAAGACAAAAGATTTTAGGCGCCTGGGAATTTAAAATAGCATAACTGTCAAAATTACTGCACACACGAGTGAATAAAGCAAAATTTATGCATTTATTTAATGCACAACAACAGTAATATGATCTATTAGCAATTCGATTTCAATTCGCAGGAGCCTAAAATCTTTTATGCTTAAGAATTGCAAAGTGATTTCTTAGGAAATTCCGAGGTTGCGTTTTTTTTTTATACACCCTGTACATGCGTATAAAGCCAGTTTTCCACTTCAATCGAAACGTAGCGTATTTCTTTGTTTCCTGACCACTAGAGTGGAAGTAATGACTTGGACACAAAAGAAAATGCTACGGTACGTTACGATACGGTCGAAGTGAAAACAGATTTAAAGCCAGGCTAAGTTGCCGAAGAAATTGCTAGATTAAAATCGGCTGTAAAGTGCAAAAGTCTACTCGTGGCGTTAATAAATGGTCAGTGAAGATCTTTTCACAGTGGCAGGGAACAAGATTAACTAAGAAAGCTTTCGACTAACAAGGCAGTTCAGTTGTTGGCAGTTCAAAGACTTGGATATATCAACGTGTGTAGCCTCCATATCAGGGACGCCGGAAGATCGATAATTGGGGGGGCAGATATTCATATATTCGTGTTCTGCCCAATTAATTTCTTTTGAAATCGATTGTTTTTACAGTCTGTGAACACGAATATATGAATATCTGCCCCAATTATCGATCTTCCGGCGTCCCTGCTCCATATAGAGAGGCCTGCGGAGGAGGGTACAACGTGTGTAACATGTCCGCAAGCGAAATTTGTTATAGAGGTGTGTAAGGAGGATGGAAAATGTTATCTCCCTCGAACGTTTTATGATCATTCAACGCCATTTAGCGCAGTGTAATGGTGTAAATGCGTTTACGATTTTGGACAAGAAGGATAATAGGTGTTAAGTCAGTGATTGGCATGCAGTAAGTATTCTGATTGATTGAGGCATTTGGTGAAAAATTGGGCCATAATCATTAATTTGCTGTAATATATTTGGTCGAAATTTCATAAGTCAGTCTTAGCTGTACAGTATAGTTTGGCTCTAGAATCCGGGTAATGGGTAAGTGTAGTAGCATCTACAGGTTGTCCCCTTAAAAAATGACACTATAGAAATTATCCTATTGAGCCGTAATTGAGTATTGTTATAATTTGAATGCCTGATCACCATGCTGAACACACTGAAGAGTGCGTAAACACAATTGAATTCAGAATTACCAGGCGCATCATGAAATAATGTACAGGGTGTCCCCAAAAAACGCAAAACCATTGAAATAACGTATTGTTAAAATTTGAATGCCCTAGCACTAAGCGGAATGCAAAGATGTGTAAAATATTGACAAGGGTGCATATATTAAATATTGACTTATTAAGAAATTAAAATATCTTTGTGAAGCGCACGATTTTCTGCTCTTGGGAATCATTTAAAACAGCTTCTTGAACGGTTTCTTATGCATAAAATTTACTTACGTCAAGCTTTGATGGGTTCAGCAGAGTGCTGAGGCATTCAAATTCTAACAATACATTTATTTCAATAGTTTTGGTTTTTTGGGGGACACCCTGTAGAGCGTTTGCACTCATTCCCCAGGGACCAACTCAACAAAAGCCATGGCGGCCATGTTGGTGTTCCAGACAAAAGACTCAAATTAAAATTCTTTTGAATTGCAACACCAACATGGCGGCTGTGACGTCATGTGCAAACACTCCATCTATAGTAAAATTCGAGTAATGATTCATTTGCATACAGCTCAATACCATGAAAGTTCAAAATGTGCTTTAAAATTCCCCTGAGCCAAAACTTTCTGCGTCACTATGCGTTTTGAACCTTTCTAAGTCGGTCTATGACTATGACAAAAAAGGTTTCGGTATATGCCGCCATTATCCATATCTCATTACAAAAACGGATAAGGCAAGGAAGTTTTAATATATGTCAAAATAATCTTTAAAAGTCCCAGAAGCCAAAGCTTTTTGCGTCACTATGCGTTTTGAACCTTTCTAATTAAAGGCCGTTTTCAACTGGGCGGAATTTCCCGCGCGGAGCGGAATTTCTCTTTGTCTTGTGATTTCTCGGGTGGAACTAATTAGAAAAGACGACAAAGAGAAATTCCGCTCCGCGCGGAAAATTCCGCTTAGTGGAAAACGACTTTATTTAAGTCGTAAAAAATGTTCTATCTTTCGTAAAAAAAAATTTTCAATCAAGTCAAAATTTGATCGTAATTTTCTCAGACGATATATATTAATATCACTCATTATAAATACGGATAAGCCATAAAATTTTATTGTTCAAAATAATCTTTAAAATTTGCCTGAGCCAAAACTTTCTTCATTCACTATGCATTTTGAACCTTTCTAAGTTGGTCTATGACGAAAAAAAATTTTCAGTCTGCCCGAAATTTTCTAAGTCAAAATTTGGTTGAAATTTACATACATACCTAACTCCATAAGCATGCTCATATATATATATATATATATATATATATATATATATATATATATATATATATATATATATATATATATATATATATATATATATATATATATATATATATATATATATATATATATATACCTAAAACCAGTATACCAGTATACTCATGACCCACATTCCGCGTTTTCTAAAAAACACCGAGCGTGCCTTGAGGCACAAAGTGCAACTATTGTCTTTTTCCAACCAGTTCCATAGGCTATTTATAATTCGACCTGTAAAACTTGATTACTCGGCGTAAATAAACATGTCCGGTTGATAGTTAACCGCGCCTACTGATTGGCTGACGCCGTAATTAGATTAATTTTTGTCCACACGTGACGCGCGTCACTTTGAGTCGAACGAAGGGAAAATCCAATGATTTCGCAGAGGCCGACAGACGCCTTGCATTTGTTAGAAGAAAATGGTCGACCATTTGACAGCAGTCGTCGAAGAGACTGAACGCCAGGCGACGAGTGTTCAACTCAATGGCCATGACGAGTATGGACACGGCGAAAAATTTCGAGTCGATAGACGAAAGCTCGAGCAAATGCTGCGAGGTAAGCTCATGATGCTACATATTTGAAATTTACACAGGCTTTTATTGACATATATCTTACTTCGTTTACATTTGCGCGTGTGTGTGATGCCTAGTACACATCTCACAAACCGCCACACTCGTGTAAGTCTTGTTCGGACCTTAAATTCGCCGTAATTTCCATTCTCAATCTGTATAGACAACGCGTGAGCTTTCTCATTGTTATTTGTGATGCGCGGAAGTTTATATTAATGTTGCACACGAATTCTGAATTTAATGCGTTGTAGAAAAGGGTGCATTTTTATGTGCAATTAAGAATACGCTACTTATGCACATTAGATTTGCATTAAGTGTTGAGGAATTGCTTTACAGCTCGCTTCACAGTGTATAAAAGCTTGACAGAGCTTGAAGATACTTAGCAACACTTGGCTTGTTTCCAAAGGGAACGTTGGCAACATTTAATGCCCAGGCGGGCTATAATTTATATTCGCGTTTCACGATCGCCTAAATCTAAATCACAACGAATTCCGAACTGCAATTAGCAATTTCCACATTGTTTACAGCCGTTTACATGCAGCATGCAAAACCTGAAAGCGAACTCAGCTGAAAGCGAACTCGACGTATGTATCGCATTACGAAACACACATGACTAAGTACAATTTGTTTTCGTTTAAACAAATAAGAATGGAATACATAGGCTCTACACACCTACAGCTTCCATATAGATAATTTCGTAGTCTGTGTATTGTTTATGTATTCGGGAATGCAACGCGCCTGATATAAAACGCTTAAAATACCAGCACCTAAATTTCATTGTACGTATGCTATTGTTTTTCTTGCAGAAAACGGCGACGATAGCGGTTTAACTGCAGACGAATTCTTTAACCAGGTTAGAATTGTCGCTTCTCAATTCGGATTCCAACACTTTAGTCTTTGCGAAGAGAATGTATAACTCGTGTTCAACATCTTTAGATCATGCATGAAACAAGCACTGTCATAAGCTGGCCAACGAAATTGAAAATAGGGGCAAAGTCCAAAAAAGGTTAGCGCCATTGTGTTGTATTTGTATTGTACTCTTATAACCTCACCCATTCTCCCCCCATTGTTATGAAGCATCGAATTACAATTGGTGAAATCCTGCCATACTTGTTATCCCGAAATTTACATCGTTACAAATTACGCGCATTGATTCAGTCATGCAACAGGCCGAAACCTAAACTAACTTTATTTATACTGGATAACTTTATCAGTTCCAAACTGTTTTTCCTAATCTCTCTAGAGATCCGGTAAGGGTCATTCGATGTCACTACAGAGGGAAACCTAAACTATAAAACTAATATTATTTAAACTTGCATTCCGGCAACAAGTTATAAAATCCTTTGCACACATAATCGCTGTTTGCCTTCAAGCTTATTATCGCATGTACAAATAATTTGCAGGGTTTGTTTTTGTCTATTACCGTAATCCGAAACGCCTCTTTGAAGAACAATGAAAATTCTATATTTATCAGGAAATGCAATACTCTATATTATGTTGACTTAAAACATAACATGTTTATACCTGTGGTTTTTTTATTTGCACAAAACCTGTTTTTAAGTATGTGTTATTTACGTCGAGCATGGCAACGCGTTTTATGTGGATTTTAAATCGATGGTGACAGAAAATTATGTAGGCGTTGGAATGCCTTTGCGGAAATGCCTAATTATAACATTATGCGCTTCGTTCTATTGTGTTGGAATTCAAAAACAGTGCGTTTTCGACCTAGAATTTCACTCTCAGATTTTCGCCTATTTTTATTTCGCTGCGGTTTACTTTTTACGGGTGACTCGTCATATTAAAATAGTCGTTGACGAACGCTGCTGTGAACGTTAATGCATTATTAAATCAGCGTTGTTTTGATATAAAAGATATTGCTTTCGTAAAGGCTAATTTCCTTACCCCTCGGGGTAGGGAACGCACGTCATCCATATACGGCAGTCACGAGTTTGATGTAGTTCTAGAAAAATTCCATATTGTAGTTTAATCATTTCTAGCGCTTTCTCAATACATTTCCATGTACAAATTATGAAGTCTAATCTGTACTGAACCTCAAAAATTTTCCTCATGCAATATAGCTATGCAGTCGTCTGATTAAATTCCACCTCAGACCTGAGTCACATGCGAGAAAAGTGCTTCCAATTTGACAATACCAAACAGCACAGGTTTTCTCTAAGTACACCAGTTTCCTGACGTAGAAACACTACAGGAACCTCAGAGAGAGATGTTTGGAACTGATAGAGCTTCCAATGTAAACAAACTTTGTTTGAGAACGAATTTTTAAATGTCGGAATTGTTGGCAAAGTGTTTTTTCCGCTTTGTACAGTTAGGCTTCGAGGTGGCCGTTTTTTTTAATGCCCGCTAATAAGTAGACTAATAATGACGGCAAGTTAGGAAGTGTCGGACCTTTTATCAAGTAGTAGGTATATTTTTTCAGCACTAAGCTAGCGTGAAAGACGTCTTAAACTTTAACCCTAGTTTTTACTAGAACGCTAGAATAGCCGTAAGCGCTAACGCATATAAAAGGATTAAAAAACGTAATTTTTTCCTCTCATATTTTTGACGACTTTAATTTAATTATAAGGAAGTATCAATTGCACACGCCACGTATTTCATCCTCCTCAATTCTATTTTAAGGCAGATCTACAAACATTTAGTAATAAGCATTTGCACATAAATTTATGTATATGTTTTGTATCTACTCGAAGATATTAGCTATATTTTTTTGCTATTCTGTAAATTCGAGTGTAAATAAAGTTTATGTATGTATAATATGTATGTATGTATGTATTTACACTACACGACTTTTGCCTAAAACTGTCGCACGCAACTTTCTTACAACTTGAGTTGTACTGTGTAAATCAAGCACACAACTGACTCACATTGTCGTGCTGTTGTAGGTGAGTTGTGTACTTGATTTACACAGTACAACTCAAGTTGTAAGCAGGTTGGACGCGACAGTTTTAGGCAAAAGTTGTGTAGTGTGCTAGCTTTTGAACTAAAAAAAACTGGCAAAGACCAAAGTGTATACAATTTTGTTCGTTCAACAAAGAAAATTTGGGAAAGTAATTTGAGCACTTGTATATGCGGTTGGTCAGTGATCTATTGTTATAATGAGCAATATAAATAGCTATCATGGAGGTAAAAAAAAAACAAAAAAAAACTGAGTGACCTGTCATAGAAAATTTACCGAAAACACATACGCACGTGCAGTTGACAAAAAAGAACTTGCCATATGAAAACTCGTTATGGAAAACGTGCTCGTCATTTTACTCACAATTTTCAGAGTCAGTGCGCATTATTTTAGGAAGGTGTTTTCGTATTCAAATTGCACTTTTCCTACCTCCTAAACAGATGTCTTAGGGGTGCTTTACGTGCTTATGTGATGGAAGGGGGAGGGGGAAAGGCAGCACGTTCCTTGTGATAGTAACTTCTAGTTTTAGGAATTGTTTTGCGGTGTGGTGACGTAAAACCACTACGTAAAACACAGGAAAATCTGCGTCATTCCAATTGAAAAACGTCTTCATTCACATACCGATATTTCCGTGATCCCCAAGGCTATTGGTGACTTGGAAAAAGTTCAAACGTAAATAGGCTACATTAACAAAGACCTTTCTTATGAGGTGTCAGCTTGTTTCGTCACCACTTGTTAAATATATCCAAAATCATCTTATAAATACACGCGATTGGTAATCGCATTTTGGCACCGTTAATTAATATGCACAGATGCGTTTTAGCGCCTCTCATAATATACATTAATTAAGGCTGTTTTGCTTGTAATGATGTAATGTTCTTATTGTGGCTATCCCGGATTCCCCTTATATGCCGCTCATACAAAAGCTTTTTCCTTTGCTTATTTTTTGCCGGCTTGTGATGCATGCTGGCTTGTCCACTTTGCAAACACAAACATTTCTCCCATCCTTGTAGCCATGTGCATTTTTCATTAAAAGACGAAAGCCTTGACCCCTAAAGTTTAATTCTTATTTGTGACGCAAACATAAGTGAACAAAAATAACAACTAATGACTTTTTCCTCCGAGGCTTTATACGAAGAAACTTTTTTTTGGAATGCATATATTGCCACTACAACTGTGCGACACTAACAAGTTGTCAAACTGGATGTCATGCTGTATTTTAACAGAAAAACATTGCTCAAAGACTTTGGTCAAAGACTTTGCCTAGAAGCGTGGCATATAAATATGAGTAATCATGCTTTGAATAGGGATGACGGTGCCTATTTGCCAGAGGAATATATGCATCTCATTGGCAGGTGACGTCATCCCTTGGGTATTTAAGAAGCCACGATTGCAATTTTAGATCACCCCTGACGAAGACACTAGACTGGAGTGTCGAAACGTTGGGTCTTGATTACAATTCGACTGGGCTTTGTAATCATTTATTTAAACCAGAGTAGCGAGCGAAACATGTTTGATATACCTGGTTGCAGTGAACGAACAAACTTTCAAGAAAAACATTTCAGTGCACAGAGAATCGTAATCCCAACTACTTAATTAATTTTGATCCAGTCCAAAGACTGAATTAATTTTGATTTAGTCCTAGGACTGGAGCAATATACTTCATCAGGTATCCAGTATTATCATGTGAGCAAAATAAAACAACATGGTTGGCTAATTTACTCATGAATGAGATGTACACGAGAGCGCAACTCGAGTGTTTTATATCTGATAAAGCACGGCAGGGCATTTTTTAACTATATAACTACTGGGGCATTTACCCCAGTAGGCCCTTTGCTTGCCCCAGTAGTGAAGCATGATTTTCAGACGAGTTGGGCCCTTTTGATCATTAGTAAAAGGTTAACCTTGTTGAAAATGCTGCATCTGCCTGCTTTCTCATATCCTCTCACATTCTCAACATTAATTCCCTCTCAGAGTAAAAGTCAGCACAGGCAGAGGCGGTACTCCCCAATCGTCAGATAGTCGGCAAATTATCTAATACCAGCCGGATGAAAATAAATACTAATTAGCGTTTGAAATTAGTAGGCAATATTTCACTTACACCCCCCCTCCCCCGTATTTAAATAGCAGTGATTTTTATGTACCCGTATATAAAACTGTGTGGGAAAAGGCCCTCAAGCCCCAGTAGTTGTATTTTTTTTAAAAAATGCCCTGAAGCACGGACTTCGAATCTGTTAAATGACTTAAAAACGACCCATTTGATGAGTTCATTGGCGAAGTAATTTTAAAACTAAACGTTGTCTAAGTCGAGAAAATCAAAGCTAAAGTTTATGTAAATCAACATGATTTTTTATCACATATTAAAACCACCGACATGGCAATGATTTCGTATTTTCCTCATGAATTATTAATGCCTTTTTGAGGCACTTATAATTGCATTTGTGAGGTTATGTCTACAGAACAGGCAACATTCTTTCTGTTGGTTAGAATTTTTCCTCTGAATTTCCCATTTATCTAAATTATTTCAATTATTTTTTTTCTTTCTTGGAAAATATTTTCTGAGAATTCGAACATTTCCCGTGATCTTTTTTCCACACCTGTGAGGGATGTTAGGATGGTTTGAAACGTGCAATGCTTGCGTTCAGGAAAACCTTGGCATATAAACAGCATCACCCTAGCACGCATTGTTTGTTTCACACGGTGCGTAAGTACCTTTCTTGCTGTTTCGCCCCCGTAATTGTTCAGTAATGGTTTCAGGAAATGACTAGAACGTCATCACGAAATAACAAACATGTGTTAGGGAGAGCCCCGTGACATCCTGTTTTGATATGGCTAACCCGCTGTAGTCATGCGATCATATGATAATGCACGCGTGTACATTGTCATACCCTTTCATTGACGAGTTTTGTGCGGATGGAAATTTCCACCGAAACTATAAACTCTCTGCCAGGAATCGAACCGGCGGCCCTGTGATTCTGGTGCAGTGCTCTAACCAACTGAGCTACAGAGGCCACTCAGGCCAGTTGTCGAGCTCTAACCAACTGAGCTACAGAGAGACAGTTGTCAAGTTCTAACCAACTGAGCTAGAGAGAGACAGTTGTCGAGCTCTAACCAACTGAGCTACAGAGAGACAGTTGTCAAGTTC